TGGCAAGAAGTTTTGGTTTACTTACCGTGAAAAATGTATTTGACCAACAATAAATTTTGGTATATTTAATAGAATCGAATTAATTGTTTTCGCTCGGTAATTCTTACAAAAATTCTGATTTGTCCGTTTGAACGGACATATTGGCTTCCAAAATTCACTTCAAGGATAAAACTATAAAATATAACTATAAATGTAGAGTATAAAATATAGACAATATCTTTTCATTTGTAGAAACTATAGTGTACCGTCTTTATAAAAGTAATGGAAGATAATAGCTTTGATAAAAACAAATAATTTTACATCGCGGGTTCTAACTATACTATAATTCTATACTATAAGCGGACAGAACCGCATAAAAATCATGTTTTAAACAGTATTAAATCGATGTTTCTAATCATTTATTTTTATAGATAATTGTTGAAACCATGTATGAGCAGTGTTATGCATAGATGATTTTAAAATTAGCTAGATACAGATAAGATGGAAATTTAAAAATTTATCTTAGATAAGATAAAGATAATTATATTTAAATTAATCTAAATAATATAGATAAATTTATCTGAAAATTCATCTAAAAAGTTCCAGATAATGTTTAACCAAAAATATTTTATCATCGAGTAGAGAAAACCTTTTTATTTGAAAACTTCAGTGGAATGTTTATCATTTACTGTAATCAAAATAGAAATTAGAACATTAAACATGTGTAAATAATTAATTTTACATATATACGTATAATTTTACATATATACGTTTCTGTATAATTTAATCTGTTTGGTTTTTAAATACCATAATCTATAAACTAATCAATAAATATAAAAATAAAAATGATATAAAATTTAAATAAATAAAGGCTCCTCAGATAAACAAATCAAATATAATGAAACAAAGGAAAAGCCACGGAAGCCGATACACAGTTATTCGTATGTAAATATATATTATAATTTAATTAAATACAGACAAATGTTTCAACCTTAGTATTGAGTCCTCTTCAGTGTAATTAAATTTGATAGCAACATTTGATGATAGTTTTGAAAAATTAAGTTATACAGGTATAATATTCGAATCGTCAAATCATCGTTGAACTATTGTCAATGTTTGAAGTCTTCTAAATCATCTATTGTATTTTGTCGAATAAAACAAACCGTATGTTAGAAATATGTCACTAAAATAATCGAGTAAAAATAAATTAGTATAATTAAGTTAAAAGTTATTATAAGTTAAAGATAAAAATTTACATAGATTCAGATTGATGTTACTTATGATGTGACTATAGAGAGATGTCATAAAATCTGAGGTAAATATGTAGTTTAGGGAAACCAGTGACCTTGACCTTGACATATGGTGTCAAGGTCATGGCCCTGAATGACCTTGAGAAAGTTTTAACCGTTGGACATCACTCGTTAAAAAATTATAAACAAAAGAAGAAATAACGTATATGATATCTCTTTTCCACCACATGAAACAGAAATTTTCTGCTTTAAAGTACATTTTACAACTATTCACGGGAAGCGACTCCCACCTCATCTCCTCTCCTGCTTGGAGGAGCATGACTTTCATTTTTTTATATAATTTTTGTTCTTAGAACAGAAAATTATTTTCTGTTTTACTCTGCATTAGATTGTATAATGGATTAATGTGAAACGAGATCTTTCCTTGTTGGAGAAGATACAGTATTTATAGAGTGTATGTGCTCGTTATAGAATGCAGAGTTAATGTATGCAGAGTAAAGCAGGAAACAAATTTCTGCTCTAAGAACAAAAATTATTTAAGAAAATGTGATAGTCGTATGCCTTCAAGAAGGGGGAGAGGGATGGTGGGGTTAGGCTATTATACAGGTCTGATAATTATTCTGACAGAGTTCGTGGACATGTAAAGCGAACTAAACTGAGACGGAAAGTCCTTTACCATTTTGCAATTTTCGCAATAGTTAATAAGATATTAATTGCTAAAAATTGCCGAAAATTAGTCTTCAATAATTTTTTACTCAAATACTATCAACTTTACAGAAAAGCAAGAGACAAAAATTGTTTATTTTCTTTTCATAGACCTCTAAGAATTTTTTTAGAATTTTTTCAGAATGTTTTAATACCGTATTTTCTCGTATGTTAATAAAAATGAGAAAATGCAGTACTAAAAAAATTGATACAAAATTCTGAAAAAATTCGTAGAGTTCTATGAGAAGAAAATAAACAATTTTCATCTCTTGCAATCTTTTTTTCTGTAAAGTTGATAGTATTTGAGGATTTTTATTTTTTAATTTTAGTTTTTTGGTTTCAGTTGAAATTGACATGTAGCCAAGTATTTCGATTCAATTTCAGCAAAAGTTTCAATCGGATTCTAAATTAAACATATGGTCAACATGAAATTACAAATGTTTTAAAACATTTTTTGATTAATCAATTAGTAAAAATCTTTCTTCTAATTAGTCAATCAAATGCTTCAAAGGGTTTGAACTATTTGTACTGAGACTTTGATCACACTATAAATTTATATATTATTTATAATTTTTTATTTTAGTAGGTTTTGAGATATAAGGATTTAAAAAAATGCGGTCAATTACAGATTATGTTGGAAGGTCACCTATAAGTATTAGTAAGAGACTTAAAGTGTGTGCTCACTTGCGCTCTTAATAATCTACCATACGTGTGACTCATGGACAAGTAGTCAAATAACGTAATTAATGGTTATTGGCCCTATTTAAATGCTTATTATCTAAAAAATTGCTATTTAAAGGAAAAATTTAGACATAACTTTTTCACTTAATTTTTCGAAAACTTTCCTGCTATAATATTTTGATTCGCGAATGTTGAGACATCTAGTATAAATGTTAATTGCATTTTTCAACCATTTACTATACAAAGAATTGTAATAATTTAATTTAAACCATTACATTATAATATTCATTATAATATATATATATATATATATATATATATATATAAAGTTAAACCTTATCTCTCACTAATCAGAAATGAATTGACCAGTTTCTCAATAGAAACTAATGATCGATCCTTTTTCACTGTCTTATCTGTTCACGATTGTTAATGAACGATACGAAGGTGGGTGCGCAAATCATTTGATAAAGATTTTTCTTATCCGTTGTCACGACCAGTATTTTCAGTATCGGTTTTCCTTCGCTGACAGATAGTCGATATCGGTGTCGCTCACGGAAAATATTGCCGTCAATACGTTCCATAACAAAAACTAGTAAGTAAAAAAGTCAAAAAAGAGAAAGAAATATTAATGTCTAGTGGCATTTTAACAATTAAAATAACATCGAACATTTCCTCATTTTTCAACTGCGTGGTAATTGATCACCATTGTCAAGCAACCGACACAATCGCTTAATCTTTTTTTTTTCTAAAATTAGAATCACAAAAAAGTATAGAGGGTTAAAGATTTATTTTCACTATTTATTTATTACTTACGTTCTTGAAAAAACTTATTATTTATCACTGCTAATTACAATAATTATTCATTCCTCGCAATCTTTAATTTCAACTTATTTTCTAAATCACTTTATAGACTATCTATCGTCTACTTATCATGTATGCAATAAAAATGTATCTTTTTCATACATGAATTCAAGAAAAAGAATTTATTTACAGTACATGCCGCATAAACAATTGCCTAGACAAAAAAGACTGCAGAAAGATCAAAAATAACGATCGAATTGACTTCGATTTCGGTGGACAGTGTGTTGTGGAAATATATTTTTATTTGACAATAATGAGGGAGGATATAATGAATGCATGATAAAAAAATCGAAGTTCGCGTTTCTTATCGAAGTGTAAGTGTAAAAATAAAGAGAAAATAATTCGACCGAGTGGCACGTTTCCTTTCGATGTTAAAACTACACGCGTCGTTTTGAACGTCTTCAACTTGACGAAATGGTAAGAAATTATTATGTCATGTGCGAACACTTCTCGCTTGAGAAGTTACCGTTGCATTTTTTTTCTTTTGTTACGATATAAAATGTTATTTTATATTGTTTTATCTATAAAGAGCTTTAATTATATCACTATCAAACGTTTTCAGAAAAGTAAATTTCAAGTACAAAAAGCGACCCAATCAATAAACAATGTTTTTTAAATACTTATTTAATAAAAAAATATTTAATAAATATTTGAAAAATATTTTTTAAATATTTTATACTGATTGGGGATATGTGAGTTCTTTTTCGATGAACTTCTTCATTTGTATGTATCATTGTTAATTAATATTCATGAGGGCATTAAACTTGAACTTCAACAATAATTACATTACAATAGCATTGCATAACTGTGTATTGTGTATTGACTATCTTCAGATTTAAGATAGAAGGTCAATAATAATTCCGATAATCTAAGTTTGTTCCTTGAATGAAAAACTCAAATTGAAGAACGCGTGTAAAGTCTGATAAAGACAAACGATTATCAATGCACTTATCAACCACTCCTTTCTCACTTCAAACCGATATCTTCAGATTTCACATAGAAATGTAGAAATTCTTGTTCGCTAAATTTCAAGCAATCTGTATTTGGCGTAACAACATTTCTCGATACAATAAATATCATTTTAAGACGGAAACAATAAAGTTACTGTTAGCCAGTATCGCAAATAAAATTATTTTAAGCCGTTAATAATTGTGACCTTAGTTCAAGGTGTAAATTCTTTTTGCATGTGTGTACCGACAATCATTAGCGCCTCCCTAGCTTAATCGACTTTAACTCTAGTCCCATGTCGTGCGTCCTTGCGACTCGTATCTAGGAAGTCTTCCGGAAGTCCGATAAAAAACGAAAATGTAATGTGGAATTGTTTGAATGGAATAATTCTTTCGTGCACGACGCAGGAAGACACCGAATATTCGAGTCTGCTGGTGAGTGAGTTACGCGCAATTCGGTAATCAAAATTAATTGCAGGTATGATCTCTTATCATTATTAAATAAACGCTTAATTGAATAAATGTTTTAAAATAACAATTTGATTCAGTTTTTCTTCTTACAATACATTTTGCGATACAAATACATTTTTTAATAATATGTACGTGACGTTTTCTCAAAAAAGAAAATCTTTTTTCTGATATACAGTTTTATAGCAATTTCCAAAGGATTAATCAAGCTTCATCGCGGTTGTTATCATGTTATTATACTCATTCTTGTAAATAATTTTGCTACCAGTCGCTGGCGACGACGAAGCAGGGCGACCGCCGTATTTTACGTCTTCCAGCAAAATGCCCAAGGCTAAGGCTATCCTATCTCTCACGTAACAATAAGCACCTTGATTCCTATGCTCCTCTTGCAGCCACATGATCTGTATATATAGAAACATAATTCTGTATATATAGAAACAATCTTTCAATTATCACTGATTAAACATCTTTGAAAAAATAAGTGCTTGCCAACCATAAAATCATTACAGAAATCTAATACTTACTGGCCAATTTATTGTTAAAAGACAGTAATTACATATTTTTAATATTAAAACTTAACACTAAACAGTGCTTTTAATATTTGAAATATGTAATTAATTGCTATCTTTTAATATTAAATTAGCTTATACTGACTTATAGTATTAGATTTCTATGTGCTACAAGTTACATTTCTTTTTGTAGTGTCTTAGGTCGGTTAAAACAAATTTGTCAAATATGCTTGCGCAAGCTACTTGTGCAAATTTATTTATATATTTATATTTATATTTGAACGTGTGTACGGCCTAACATTTGTTTTCCCGAAATTTTATACATAACACTGCTGAAAATATTCTCAATAAATTTTTTTTAGGAAAGTATCACAAATATCGTAGAGTAAAAAATTAAAAAAAACATGTAGACTGTAGGCCTATAACCGACTTGCACATTTTGATTTTGCTTATCGTCATCCTCACCTCTTTTGTTTCATAACATTTAGACCATACGCGGAGATATAAAACGCTCAAATTCAGGGATGATATTAGTCATACAGAGCATTATAGGGTTATAAGACTTGGAAACATTGCCTTACATTCACTGTTTACAAATTTTAACACACACACACGCACGCATGCACGCACATACACACTTTTTAAATCTTTTTATTAAATTGTAAAATATTTAAAAAAAGAAAAAATTTTTTAATATTGACGATTTGAAAATTTCATATCCATATGTATTGTATAGTTCTACTATTAAATATCAGTAAGTATTAGTCGAAAACTTCTCACTTTTGCTCGTGGATATTTTGCCATTTCTTCTGCAAATAAATGATATGGAAAAGGACAAAGCTGCTCAATTCGGATAATCGCTATTTTATCTTCTAATTGTTGTTCCTGTCGTTCGATGATTAAATCGTAGTACACTTTGCCAGTACAGAGCAATACTTTCTTCACCTTTCCGGACTTCACGGAAAGATCCGGTAGAATAGGCCTAAAGCTCGTACCCGGTCCCATTTCCTCGAAATTCGATATCGCCATCGGGTGACGCAGCAATGATTTAGGACTCATAATAACCTAAATGTATACAATAAATCAGCAGGGTTGGGTAGTAACCAATTGAAACGTTAAAAATTAAAAAAAAAGTTAGAAAGTTAATAACTTTTAACTTAACTTAGTTAATTTTAAATGTATTAATTTTTAACTTAATTTAGTTACTTTTAAACTTTAATTTATTTTAACTTTTTTTAAATTGAAAATTTGTCTACCTTCCTTAATGCTAATATTTTTTTTTCTATAAAGTCTTAAACATTAGAAAACTAATTTAGAAAAAGTTCAATGATTTTATGACGAGACTCTATAATAAGAATCACATTATACGGTAGCCAGTTTTTATTGACTCGCTATATTGTCAATTTCCGCTTATATTGGAATCACACTAATTTAGGTATCAACAAACATTATATTTCAGCAACATAAATATGAAATGAGCTTTAGATGAAGAATTGTTGTAGAACAGAGTTGCACATCCATCCATTTTCTAAATTTTTACGTATATTTTTTGTAACAAATATCTAGTCGTAAACATGATGAACAGTCATTTCAAAAGTTAAAAAAAGTTAGATAAAGGTTAAAGAAAGAGAAATAATGCAAACATATACCTTTCTCTCTCGCAAGATTTTGACAAAAACACCTTATGATGTGACTCTTATTATATATAAGTAACTTATATGATATAAAATTAAATTTGTCTAATAATCTATATTTGTAAGGATTATTTAAAGTAATCTTATTTTAAGAAAAATTAGGACATTCTGATTTCAAAAATAATTTCTTACAAAATTAACTTTTCTTTAAACTTAAATTAATTTAATCTTAACTTAATTTTTATTAAGTTAATTCTTTATTCCTTCAACTTTCAATTTAATTTTATTAATTTTATAACCCATTAACTTTTTAACTTGATTTAATTTAAAAAAAACATTAACTTTCCCAACCCTATAAATCAGATTTGAGATGTGATTATTATAACGAATAAACATAAAAATCAAAACAATTCATTATGTGCGACGTTAGATCCTTAAAAAAATTTGATTAAGCATCTTAGAAAATTCTTGATAATATAAATTCGAAATAATTGAATTATCCGTAATTACGCTTGTGACACATGCGTAAAAATTGAAGGACTAGCAATACTTGGAAAACAACAATAATCGCAACTTGATAGTTGTAGCGTTTAATGTGGCTAGCTCTTTTATTATCGCATTGTAATTTATGTCGGTAAAAACTAGAAGATACGAATATATCTATGTAATGTTAGGTATTCAGTTGACTCGCGTACGCGAACATGTTTCGAAGAATTTTGTCGTTCATTGTCACGCAATGAAATATTTCGCGAATCGCGTAAAATGGTATGTATAATGTGTCACTAGACATAAAGAAAATTTTTGGATTCAATTTTATGAGCCAATATCTCTGAAAATACAAAAAAAAGTATTACAAGCAAAAAGCACGAGGAAAATATTTAGTGATGGATTTTAGTGATTTTTCCGTATTTTTAAAAATTATTGACTATTATTATATTAAAGGATCAGTTTGATCACACATTTACATAATTCTTCTACATAACATTATAAAGAAAATAGAATTTACTGCCTCAAACTCCTAACCAAGAGTATACATTACCAGATCTATGTTTTCTTATTAGTTACAAATGTAGCTATAAATTTTATTTTAAAAAATTAATCATTAATTAAATTAATGCTTATTTAAAAGTAAAATGATGTAATGTGCCACTAGACGTAAATTTTTGGATTCAATTTTATGAGCCAATATTTCTGAAAATACCGAGAAAAAAATATTACAAGCAAAAAGCACGAGAAAAATATTTAGTGATGGAAAATATTTAGTAAAAGTGTTTGGCGAATATTGTCTCGTAACAATGGTGACGAATACTTCGCGTAAATAAAGACTGAGCTAACCAATGGTTTGCGAAACGGCATCAATATTTGTCGGCGCAGAAGGTGAAAGAGATTGGCAGGTGTCGTGGGATTACAGACGATCCAATTTATATCGAAAAGCTGTCTTGTCATGATTTGCTCGACAGTTTCACCGGCGGGAGCATCGGGTTCCGTTCCGGGCAAGTGAGTACACTCGTCGTCGCACAGCTGAAGAAATCTCTCCAATCTCGCGGATGAATGTTCCGGTCCCTGACCCTCCATACCGTGTGGCAATAATAGTACCAATCCTGTCTGCCTACCCCATTTAGTTTGTCCGGAACATAACAGGCAGTCTATTATGACCTGAAGATCAATTGAAGCCGCATGTGACACATGTTTTTGTAAAATATCGCGATTATTTTTTTGAAATAATGAATACGAAGATTGAATTTCATTTAATTTTAATTTTAATTAAAAATTAATTTAATTAAGAAGAGAAAATTACTTGTCAAGACACTTAAAACAAAAATCAAAATTATAATAAAGTAAGAAAATCAAATTTCTGCTAAAGAGAAAGCTGTAATCGTTAAAGTTACCTGACAGGTATTGGCAAAATCGCCGAATTGTGCTTCCCAGACTGTCAGAGTATTATGATTGTACGACGAATATCCCAGTTCGAAACCTTTTCTCGCCAAACATTTATGAGATATTAATTATTAAAGCTGCCATGAGTTATTCATTATTTATTAAATAAATCTCTAGTATCGTATAAATCTCGATATATGTCATCTGTATTTATTTTATTAACCCTACACTGAAAGAAAAGATTGAATATGACATAGTATTTTTAATTGATTGTAGCAGCCAATTTTTTGTTGCATTAGCCTATCGAAATCCTATACCAACATTGCAAATAGGCTAACGCAACCAACAATTGCTACAACTAAAAATTAGCAGCCAATTAAAAATGCTATGCCATATTTTACCATTCAATTTGCTGCAGCAGCCAATCTTTTTTTTCAATATAATAATACATTACTCACGTGGAGTATTTTTGATTTCCCAACATTATATCTCAATTTTCTTTGTTTTCTTTAATTTACAAAAGATTGATAATATTAATTTAATAGAGATTGATAATATTTTATCTTTTATATTTCTTTTGTTATGAAACAATTTGTTCTAAATATAATAATAGACAAACTAATGTACTGTACGAGTTGTGAAGTTACGGCAATTTGCTGGCATCGGAATCTTATATACGAACTGAGTTAGCAATAAATAGATAATTTAAAATTTCAAGAGCAAACGTTGAGAATTAATAATGCATTATGTTAAAATGACAACACGCAATGAGCAAGCATTTCATACAAAGTATCATATCGGCAACATAATAGCAAATTAATGGCACGTATATTTTACATACAATCTTGATGTTGTCAACTTGCTGTCATCACATTTAAAATTCACGTGAGGACAACAGACATTTCGCATTATAAGGAAGCACCTTGTCCCTAGTTTGTCAACATCTATTGCAATGACTGATAGTAACATGACGGCATTTTGAATTCATTTGGCTATATGGTATAAAAACAAGTATATATACTTGTGCTTTATTTGAACGTGTATGTGTGTCAGAAAAGTCATTTGTGCAAGTCAAAATAACAATTAAGTTTGCACAAGCAGCTTGCGCAAGCGTATTTGATAAATTTGCTTGAATGTGTGTGTAGCCGGTTTAATAAATGAGAAGAGAGAGAGAGAGAGAGAGAGAGAGAGAGAGAGAGAGAGAGAGAGAGAGTCAAGACTCATGGTCTTGGCGCTAATTATAATAAAAGCACATATATGTAGCACAAGACCAAGTATGTATCTTTTTAACGAAATTGCTGTAATTTATGGCCGTTTCGAGTTACTGTTAAAATGTAAAAGTTTAACAGTTCTTGGAATAACTGTCTAGACTTGAGGTCGCCGGGTTGCGCATTTCATGGCATTAGCAATGAAATAAACGAATGAATTATCGATAAGACTAGATAAGATAGACGCTTAGCCGAAATAGATATAGTTGTCAATACAACGACATAATAGTCGGAAAAATAACAAAACTAATTTTTCCTCACCACACACGCCATATTCCGATAGCGACGAATTCGAGACGGTGTATAGTGCTTGCTTCGGGAAAACATCGCGCAACATGTTCTTATATGTCTTATCTCTGTTCTGATCGTGAACGATGTGTATTCGTTGAGTGAAGGTGCCACGCTCGACGTCCTGTCCGGACAATCTGACGTGGTGACCCTCCTTCAACAGGCTGAGGAAGGCCAGACACTCCCCCATCGCCCAGTCAGCTTGCCGGGACTCCATCAGTTTTGCTCGCCTATCCATCATTCTCAATACCTATGTTCGATAGATAAATCCAAATAATAATAGTTTACAAAGGTTTTACGCAAGATCATATAAAAATAGAATAATTTTCACTATTGTTTCTAGAATAATTTTCAACGCTGATTCCGAATCTATTATTGAAATACGTATTTCCATCAAGTTTGATTTTCAAAACATAAGAAAAGACATTTTTTTCCACATAATGAAGTTTTATTAAAATTAGAACACAACTTAGAAGCGTTAAACGTTTAATTTTTTTTTTAATATAATTTCCAATTTTCATCTTAATACCCCTGATAATGTTTCTCAACTATCTTATCATCAAATTCTGGTGAAAACGTTCACCTTATGTGCTTATTATTTATTCTAAATTATTTAATGTTAATTATTTGAAAAAAGTGCACATTTTAAAAATTAACATGCTAGATCTTAAAATTAATCTATTTTATTCTCTAAATCTGAATTAGTAGATAATCACTGATATCAGTGCCAAGTATGCCACTAGTAATCAATGAATGAAATGTGAGATTCCTAACCTAGCTAATCTTTATTATGTGATGTAATCTTATTTTAGTGCATAAATTCAATGAATATGGTATTAAAAAATTAAAATTAACGTGCAACTATCAGTATTTTAGTTATACAATACTGAAACATTCTTCCTTTTTTAGTTGAACTTCACTGATTATCCAAGTATAGTTACTGTGGGTAATTAGTGACTATTCAGATTTAGAGAGTAAAATTTCAAACCGATGGAATTGTTCTAACGACAGATTTGAAATCAGCACTCCAAAATACATTTTAAAAAATTGTTTCCTTTTCTTGCACTAAAAATTATTTAAAATTTATGAACTAGTCTAATCAATCTGAAACTTGTTCGGCCCTTCCAAACCAACCCTTCCTGTTCCTTAGCTAATTGCCAAGCAAACGAGAATGGATTGAAATGAATTGAAATGGATTCAGATTTTCAGAAATATTGATTCACGAATTAACGTTAAAATGAATGAATTTCAATCCTGAATGCATTTTTATTCATTTATAGAAATTGCATGGAGCATATCTTTATGCCTTCTAAAAATATTAGATTTTTCTGTGCACAATTGTGAATACTGTTCAATTCAAATTTTTGAATAAAAAATGCAGTTTTTCAATCCAATTGTGCATCCAATTGAATCTAATTGAATCCAATTGAATCCAATTAAATCCCAAAAAAAGTATTCGCTATTTAAAATATGCATTTGGATAGAAAAAAATTTCAATCTATTTTAGTCCATTTTCGTTTGCTGGGTGGTAAACTTTATAAAAGTTTGAAAATTCATAGAAATCATTCATGAGTACTAAGATAAATTAAACTTGTCAGTCGCAAATTAGGAATTTCTATAAAACAGAATAAAAATTAATCCATTTTGCTCCCATGGTGTAACTCGTATGACTTGCAGCTAACTTGAACATGCGAGGCAATGTCCTTCGGAGGAGTGGATATAGCAATGCACATCGTTTTAATGGTCGCGAGATCGATACCAGTCGGCGGAATTTTATTTTTCGGAGTTTGATTCGAAAAGAATTCAGTCCAGGGCACGTCGTGCCAGTCGCTCATTTGCATCGAGCTGATCGTCTGTGCTTTTGTGAATTCTTCTTCGCAATGGTTCACGTACTTTTCTATTTCCTACACACAAAAAACAATTGCACGTGCATATGCATAACAGCAGGATTAAATGACAGGATTTAAAGCAGTTTTAAATTATTGTCTTCCTCAACCTGCTTTGCGAAAGCTTCTGTTATCACACCCTCTTTAAATAGTTTATTAGAGTATATAGACAAAACATTAGGGTGATCTTTTATTCGCTTGTACATGAGCGGTTGAGTTAACATCGGCTCATCCATCTCGTTGTGCCCGTTTCTTCGGTATCCAACGATGTCTATTACCACATCGTTATGAAAAGTAGCTCTGATGATAAATTAATAAGTCTCCTTTATTCTTCTAATTTAATGCACTTATAATACATATATTCTTATTTTTATATTTTATTATGAAAATAAATTTTATTATAATTTTCAGCTTTTTTACTGAAGGAACTAATTATTTGCATAATTTAGATATAATTTCTTCTCGCAAAAAAATTTTTTGAAAAGAATTTAAAAAAATTTTATTTAGTTATAAAAAATATTTTAATTTTCATCGCAAAATATGTTATTTTAAACAAATTTTATATTAATTTATTTAGCATTTATACTAATAAGCTTTCATTCTTTAAATAAAACACACGCTGAGATTAAACAATTAAAAGATAACAGGAAATAACAGCTAAAATAGAAACTTTTGAAGTAAAGATTAAAAATAGCATTGTAATTTACCGATATTCGCTGGCCACCTTACTGCAGTAAGTCGCTAAATCAGGATCATCAGCATGTATGTGAAAAATAGGAGCGTTAACAACACGTGCGACATCTGTGCAATGCTCACTAGATCGTGAATATCTTGGATCAGTTGTAAAACCAATCTAGAATTATTAACATACATTTAAAATAAATTATTCTCATTTGCTAACACTTTATAATTATTTAAAGTTGTTTAATATTTTGTTATTTAGCGTCTAATAATTTAATGTTAATAAAAGATAAATGCATACAAAAAGTATATTTATATTAATTAATACACTCAATACTAATTTTACTTAAATATTAACTTTGATTTTAATTTATCTTGATGTGTGAATTTTTTTTTAAAAAAGTTTTTAGATAATTAAATTTTAATTAAAGTCTACTCAGTTAATTAATTTTGAAAAATTTGGTAAACATTGTCAAAGAGAAACTGTTATCCCTACTTGATTGTTAATTACGATGTGCATGACACCACCCGTTGTATACTCCGGTAAATTGGTGAGATGCATTGTTTCGTAAACGACACCTTGGCCGGCAAAAGCGGCATCACCGTGAACCAATATAGCTAATGATCTTTTGCCGTCTGAAAGAATCTTATTTTTAGGATGTATTTAAACAAAGTCTATTATCGTCTGTTAGGAAATTACACATCTTCGATATGTACGTTTAGAATCACTTTTCTCGACTTGTTCGGCACGAACACGACCGACTATGACCGGATCGATTGCTTCCAGATGCGAACAATTTGCCAATATGGCAACAAGCATTTTCTTCTTGGTTCTACAAAAGTCGCAATAAATCAAATATGATAAATGTTCAGACTCTCTACATCTCTTCGCAACTTGGAATACAAATTTAGACATCGATGCTTGATGCTTCGCATATTAGAACCGATTTTGCATTGCAATGGTTTTTTGCACCTTTCTAGTAACTTCTCTGCGTACGTCCCGAGATGATACTTCACGTCACCAGAACCGAATCCTTCCAGAGCAATCGGATTGAACTGCGTGAATAATTGGCTCATCGGTTTCAAGCAAATATTCGCCAAAGTATTTAGACGACCACGATGTGCCATACCAATAACTACAGTTTCGACTCCTGATAAATAGGATAAATTAAAAATAAAATAAAATGTACCATTAATGGAACACACACTGTCAATGGAAGCTCAGGAATCACTTTAAAACTTTACTTAAACTAACACCTGTATGATTCAAGAATTAATTTAATCACCTTTTAGCGCTGAAGTTTCCATGCATTCCGCCATGGATGGTATAAACGATTCACAACCTTCTAACCCGAATCTCTTCTCCGTTCCGTATTTCTTTGCTAAAAAGTTCTCGAAACTTACGGCCCTCATGATATTCATCCAGATCCATTTCCGGTGCTCCGCAGGCAACTCCCAGGCGCCCGGTCTCTCAAACTTTTCTCTCAACCAATCTAACTAATAAAACGAATACTTTTCTCTCCACCAATCTAACTAATAAAATGAACAATAATTCTACATATCCTACGTATTTTATGAAAATTGCTTTAAAACCTATACATCCTTTAAACAAACATAAAAAAATTCCTAGATTAATTAAAGTCTTCACAAACGCACAATTTCGCTTTTCATACTTTTCATGGCGCGCAGCGATTCTTTTTTTAAAATCAGTTTCAATAAACATCTTTCTATTTCTTTTTTCCTAACTATTTTTATATTAATTACTAAGCTAAAGTCTGACTTCAAATAAATATTTTATCTAATACAGCCTATAATCAGTATAAAATAGTTTTGTGTAATCTAATCTATCAACAAACATTTACACGATAAGCTGAAGATATCACAAGTACAAAAATACTGTGCAGGATATAAACTGCAAATCATTCTGCAAATCCGTGTATACTATCTGTATACACGGAACAATTTTGCTGAAGTATTTAACTAGATATAATATACACAGATTTAAAAATAACTTTATTGGACTATCAAAATAATTAAATAGAACACTCAAACTGGTTGTTAAAATGTTGCAAAACTTTTGCAACATTGTTCATCATGTTAGGGTTTCTCACTAATTATTTTAATAATTCAAGAAAATTATTTTCGAATCTATACCTATCTAAATTTTAGACGCAAAACCGTTCCTTTCAAAGTGTGATCAAATGCTTGTGATAAAATATTCATCGTTCTTCTTAATTAAGACCATGTAGTGCGTACCATATTGAGATCATGAATATACGTGTATTCGAGACCTAGATGACCGCAATAAATCTTGTTGAGCCTCGTCAGTATCTCCCGCAGTGGTAAGCTCCTCTTGTCGCCCCCAATAACGGTCAAGGATGCGAGAGGGAATTCTTTATTCATATCCGCTTCCGTCATTCCTTTGAGATGCTGCCGCACTACAATCGCGGGCGGCAAATTTGCGGTACCCTGCAGCTTCGCTGATTCCGGATTCTGTATTCCTAATGGATCGGTGTCAGCTATCAAGTGACCACGTGCCTTTGAATAAATAAAAGGAATAAACATGGATATATGGGGGTGTAAGAAAGTGCAAGAATTTCACACAAGAAATAAGAACTTGATAAGCTCGGATCGTAGCATTAATATCGAGTGCGCTGATTATGTATTGATCTCCCTGCATTTGACTGTCCGATTTTGTCCGAATGGATTCTTTCAGAAAAAATGATCCTGTTAGACATTTATCCGAAAAAATAAACATGATTAGTTCTACTTCTAATTGGTCCACAGAATGCATTTATAATTATTATGGATATATAATATATATAATAATATAATATAAATTGTTATATATATATATATTATATTAATTTATTTTTTCTCTCAATCATAAAATGTAATACGAAATAATTATAAAATCATTATTCAGCTTTCTAAATTTTTATAATTGTTATTTAAATCGCATAAATTATAATTATCAATATTGATTTTAATATTAATCCCCTGATAGAGCAATTTACTGGTACACAATACATTGGTTAGAGATATATTGGGCCAATGTTATGTCAATAGGAAACGATTATGTCATAAGGAAACGACTATAATATAGAATTTATCAAAACTCACTCTTATCTGCTTTTAAGAGACTCTTGTCTGCTTGTCGGCTTTCCGATGCCATTAACTTGGAAGACGAACTGACGCGTATTGACTTGGGCTTAGAAGAACAAGAGTCCTTAGGATTTTCCGTATGGATCGATTTAAAATACGAGTCCCATGAGGGACTTACGGATTTTTGATCTTTGAGCCATGCTTTGTACATATGATCCAAGTACTGATTATTGGTCATATTAAGTATGTTATCCCTCCTATCGCCATTGTCACAATCGTGTTTGTGGCGCGCCGGGATATTTTTGTAAAATTGCTTGGTAATTGATCTACATTTAGAATTTTTCCAGGAGTAAAGATAGTGTACAAATTGTCGATGTAACCACGACATGGATTGTGCTTTCCGATAACATTGCATTTTTGTATACATGGCCCCATTTGTCGCCGCAGCACATACGAGTGCTAGAATAGGCGAGAACTAATGAAAATGTCGAACAACCGAGAAATTTTGAAAATTCTATCTCACAATCCGATTGAGTGAACGGATAATTGTATGCACGATATTATTATACTTTATGCCATCGTGGACTTCCGATTAACCTTTCAATTTTTACATCAAGATTGTGGTTAAATGCACGATTGATCTTTGTTTCTGATGAAAATAAAAAGCGAAACTTGAAACGAATTTCACGTTCTTATTTGGAAAATTTATTCCTCAAAAGTGTTTTATATATAAATTGCATTTTCATAAAAATGATCTCTTTCCTTCAAATTATTTTTAAAAAATGTATTATTTAAAACATAAAAAATATATTATTTAATTATATCTAGACGATTAATTTTACATAATTTGATGATATATACTATAATTTAATGTAATTTAAAATAAATTAAAATAAATTAAATTAATAGTATCTGTAATTCAATAAAATTATTTAACATTTCATTTTATTAATTTAAAAGCATTTAATACTGACTGTTAGTTTTAAATTAAACAAAATAATATATTATGTATAGTTTAGCAACATTAAGTATTTGATTAATACTTAAATTTACTACGTATCTAAAAATTTCACAAAATTTTCCATTTCGACATCGTTCAGATTGAACAACAAAAAATTTAACTTGCTCAAATTCAATTCACAACTATATCTAAATTATAAACTAATATACGCTTTCATTTACAGGGTACGACATCCTCAGCACTTAGCGATCACAGAGTCATAGAGATTAATTCTGGAAACGATTCACAAGAAAAACATTTTGTTAGCAATCGCGTCATATCGCACAAGGTATTTCCCATTTTCTATATCTTATGAAATTTAAAAGCTTTAATATTAAGAAACTCAGTTTGTAATACAAGTAAACATCAGCCGTATTTAGCTGATATCTCGAAATGGCTATCATCATTCTTGTATTTCAACTCTCGTTAAAAATATAAACGATATAAATTGCATTTATCTGATCTAATCTGTCTGCAGTATACGATATGGAACTTCATTCCAAAGAATTTCTTCGAGCAATTTCGGCGAATGGCGAATTTTTACTTTCTACTCATGACGATAATCGCGGTTTTTATACACTCGTCAATTTCGCCATTAACCAGTGCCTTGCCTCTGTCGTTTGTCATTTTAGTGACAGCATGTAAACAGGGATACGAAGATTATCTACGCTACAAAATAGATAAACGAGATAATCGGAGATCAGTCAGTGTCATCCGTAACAAATGTAAACAGGTTCGTCACGCGCGTTGTCTACGCTAATTATAATGCCCTAACTTAAAGATTTCATTAATTTTGACGCTTATAGTAATGAAACAAATAAAATATAAGTTTACAATATTTCTATATTTACTGTAATAAAATTTTTAATGCATATCCGAGAAAAAATGTTTTATATGTAATTATATAAAATTATATAAAA